CACACTGGGAGTGAGGAGTGAAGCCAAGCTTCTGACTCTGCTCAAACAAAGGTGCTGCTTGAATCTCTGCTCTCCGTGCCCACCCTGAAAAGGCTCTGTCAAACCAGGCATTGTTCTGCCAGAAGTTTTGATAAAATTGTTTCTTGGGAGCTCGCCTGGCCAATCTGCAGTTTGCACTTGATTTCCCCAGATATTCAAACAATCCAGCTACTGACAGGACATTTGCTGAAAAACAGCCCAGCAGTTCTGCAGAAAGCACTTTGGCACCCTCCCAGCGTGTTGGGTGGCTCATCTGAGCAGTCAGGCCCAGGAATGCAGCCCCAGTGCAGAACACTTGTGTTTGCTACATTGGAAAACAGGATGCAAGTGGTAAAAACAAGGGAGAAGGGCAGGGCTACTCAGTGCATCCTGAGAAAAGGGGAGCCTGGAGACCTGCTGGAGAAACTCAGGTTGTGGATGCTCTGCCCAGGCTGATAAAGAGATAAGCCTGGCTTAACCCCTACCTAAGCTTCCAGGGAGAGGTGGGAGATGGGCTAAGGGATCTGCTCTGAACTTCCCTGCTTTGTCTCTGAGGAGCTCAGCCATGCTGCATGGACACAGGGCATCAGGGAAAGTTCTCTTTGGGAAGAGGGAGTTCAGCCTTTGAAGACCCTCCTCTCAGATGCTTTGCCTTAGGAACAGCATGTCTGGAAGGGCAGAGCTCTCTCTGGGGCTGTTTCATGCAGGGAGCTGGGTACACCAACCCCTTTGTGCAGTGCAGTCACTGGCAGGCCAAGAGCTCCTCAGGTTTACAGTGGGACAGGAAACAACCTCCAAGTGACCTTGCTGGAGACCATAATGCCATTGCCTTTAGCAGGAGGAACAGTGAAACTGGAGCTCCTGGAGCTTCCTAAGTCCCAGCATCCTGTATGGACCACAGAAACTGCCTTTGCACCTTGTTAGCACTGAAAACCATGGTGGGGATGTTAGGAAACAAGGCAGGAAAATCCCACTAGTGATGAGGAGATCTTCAAACAGCAGCAAGGATTTTCAGGGGGGTGTGCAGCCTTGCCAGTGACTTTCACACTGAAGGTGTCCTCATGCTATCCCTTACCCTGTGCTGCTCCTGCTCCTGAGAGCTGAGGGACCCTCTGCCCCTGCCCACACTGAGCAGCAGCCATGGGAAGCAGTTTGCTGTCCAAGCCCTGGTTCAGAGGACAGCCCATGCTCCTGCTCTCAGCTCCTTTTTAGCACGTGCCCCTGTGAAAACTGTCTTCAGCTTGCTCACCACGGAATTTCAGCAAAATCAGTGTTTTCTCCTGTGTGTTTATTCCCATCACACTGTCACGGCGCTCTCACTAGCACTGGTGCACATGGCCAGGCAGGGGTGCACCAAAGCCAGGTCTGGACTGCAGATGGGTGTGGGAGAGCAGCTGTGTGGCCCTGAGCAGGCTGGGGTGTCAGCCAGGAGCTGCAGGTGAGGGCTGTGCAGTGAAAGCTGCAGCTCCTGGGCTGGGCTGGGAATGCCCAGTGTGATGAGTAATGCCATGGTTGACTCTCACAATTAAAAGAGAAATATCATGAATATTTGTTAAGAGAAGTTTTATAGATTCACAGTTGTGTTTTACTCCCCTTGTGTCTTTATCAGGGGTGCCCTGGGTTTGGGACATTTGGGAGGGTCAGCTCATTACCATGGCAACAGCTGACCTCCAAAAAATATTTAAGAAAGTGATCTCATGCACTGGACAGCGAAGGAGGAGTCGATGTACAGAACTTTAGGGGGGCTAAAGGGTTAAAAGGTAAAACCTCCATGGTGTGGGTGAGCACATGGTGGGGAAATCCTCTGCTCCCAGCGCCGTAATATTTTCTCTATTCAGTCTGCTGTTGTGTTTTTAATAAGGCTTTAATAAGCCTTTTAAAAAATGAGGACCATTTCTCACGTCTGCTGTTGTGTTTTTAATAAGGCTTTAATAACCCTTTTTGAAAATGAGGACCATTTCTCACACCAGCACCCATCAGCTCAGGACAACAGGAGCTCCAGGACTGGACAAACTGGCACAAAGTGCACCCAGCTGCAGCTGCCATTCGGGTGAGGATCTGCAAGTCACTGCTGCCTGCTGCTCCTCTCCTGCTCCAGCCCTCCCCAGTCTGGGGATGACAGAAGCCTGGGCCACAGGGACCTGGGCTGGAAGGTCTCCATGGCCATCAAGAACTTTGCCAGGCTTCCAGGGAGAGGTGGGAGATGGGCTAAGGGATCTGCTCTGAACTTCCCTGCTTTGTCTCTGAGGAGCTCAGCCATGCTGCATGGACACAGGGCATCAGGGAAAGTTCTCTTTGGGAAGAGGGAGTTCAGCCTTTGAAGACCCTCCTCTCAGATGCTTTGCCTTAGGAGCAGCATGTCTGGAAGGGCAGAGCTCTCTCTGGGGCTGTTTCATGCAGGGAGCTGGGCACACCAACCCCTTTGTGCAGTGCAGTCACTGGCAGGCCAAGAGCTCCTCAGGTTTACAGTGGGACAGGAAACAACCTCCAAGTGACCTTGCTGGAGACCATAATGCCATTGCCTTTAGCAGGAGGAACAGTGAAACTGGAGCTCCTGGAGCTTCCTAAGTCCCAGCATCCTGTATGGACCACAGAAACTGCCTTTGCACCTTGTTAGCACTGAAAACCATGGTGGGGATGTTAGGAAACAAGGCAGGAAAATCCCACTAGTGATGAGGAGATCTTCAAACAGCAGCAAGGATTTTCAGGGGGGTGTGCAGCCTTGCCAGTGACTTTCACACTGAAGGTGTCCTCATGCTATCCCTTACCCTGTGCTGCTCCTGCTCCTGAGAGCTGAGGGACCCTCTGCCCCTGCCCACACTGAGCAGCAGCCATGGGAAGCAGTTTGCTGTCCAAGCCCTGGTTCAGAGGACAGCCCATGCTCCTGCTCTCAGCTCCTTTTTAGCACGTGCCCCTGTGAAAACTGTCTTCAGCTTGCTCACCACGGGATTTCAGCAAAATCAGTGTTTTCTCCTGTGTGTTTATTCCCATCACACTGTCACGGCGCTCTCACTAGCACTGGTGCACATGGCCAGGCAGGGGTGCACCAAAGCCAGGTCTGGACTGCAGATGGGTGTGGGAGAGCAGCTGTGTGGCCCTGAGCAGGCTGGGGTGTCAGCCAGGAGCTGCAGGTGAGGGCTGTGCAGTGAAAGCTGCAGCTCCTGGGCTGGGCTGGGAATGCCCAGCGTGATGAGTAATGCCATGGTTGACTCTCACAATTAAAAGAGAAATATCATGAATATTTGTTAAGAGAAGTTTTATAGATTCACAGTTGTGTTTTACTCCCCTTGTGTCTTTATCAGGGGTGCCCTGGGTTTGGGACATTTGGGAGGGTCAGCTCGTTACCATGGTAACAGCTGACCTCCAACAAATATTTAAGAAAGTGATCTCATGCACTGGACAGCGAAGGAGGAGTCGATGTACAGAACTTTAGGGGGGCTAAAGGGTTAAAAGGTAAAACCTCCATGGTGTGGGTGAGCACATGGTGGGGAAATCCTCTGCTCCCAGCGCCGTAATATTTTCTCTATTCAGTCTGCTGTTGTGTTTTTAATAAGGCTTTAATAAGCCTTTTAAAAAATGAGGACCATTTCTCACACCAGCACCCATCAGCTCAGGACAACAGGAGCTCCAGGACGTGACAAACTGGCACAAAGTGCACCCAGCTGCAGCTGCCATTCGGGTGAGGATCTGCAAGTCACTGCTGCCTGCTGCTCCTCTCCTGCTCCAGCCCTCCCCAGTCTGGGGATGACAGAAGCCTGGGCCACAGGGACCTGGGCTGGAAGGTCTCCATGGCCATCAAGAACTTTGCCAGGTCTCACTGTGACTGCAGGTTTCAGGCATGTAATTTGGGACAACCTCTGCTTTAGAAACTATTCCTGAAAATAGTTTAAGGGCACCTTGGTATGATTGCCTCCATCCCAGCTTGGGGGATAAGAAAGTTTAATAGTGTTCAGTGGCAGTGGCCTCAGGGCTAGGAGCAGTGCCAGTCACATTTAAATTACTGCTACAGATGAAGGTAAATGCATCTATAGCAGTAATTTACCTGATTTACCTGGCTGCTGGTAAATCCCTGGGTATCTCCTCCTGGGTGGAGAAGCAGCCATCAGGTTTTGAGTGGGGTGAGGTGGAGCCAGGGCTTCAGTGAGGCCCTTCTGTGTCCAGCTGGGCATTTCAAAGGCTGTTTTCTGCTCAGTTTCCCATCACCTTCCAGCAGGAGCACTGCAGCAAGCCAGGGTCACACAATCCTTCGCTTAAGGAGCTTTCCCATCCGCTCTCCAGACAAAACACTCAGCCAGCTCTTAAAATGCCTGAATGTCCAATTCCTTTCATAACCACCTCAAAAGTGTGGCCAGTGTTAAAAACAAGAGCAGGCTCCAGGTACTAAAGTGATTTCAGCATTTATTACAATAAAACAAAGGCCTAAAGCCAGGGGGCCCAGGCTGAGCAGGAGCGTTCCCACTGAGGATGCTGCAGCATCGATGGACGGCTTCAGCAGCGATGTCCCCGATGTTCCAGGTGGAGCAGCACACCTTCCCTGGGTCAGATGCCCCTTTTTATCCTGTTTTTTGTCCCTCTGAATTGGTTTCTGTTTGGATCCTTCATTTGCATGAAGTTTTAAGGCCCTTTACTGGCCCATGATGGTTCTGTCCAGGCTGGCTCGTGGTGCACTTTACTTTGGTTGTGTTGTGGTACACTGAGTACAGTATTTCTATAACTACCCTTTTTACCCCTTTTACAATATAATAACCAAGCTAACAGTACATGCTTAACGATCTATCCACTATTTTACAACAGTTTCTAACCTATTTTTAACAGGCAGGGTGCAAGGTGTGAAGATCCTGGGGCAGCGGGGAGGGAGCCAAGCGGGGCCAGGGGAACGGAGCTGGAGCTGGAGCAGGGATCAGTTTTCATCTCTCTGGGCTTTTCTCCCTCCCTGTTCCCTTTCATCAGATCGCTCCTGTGCGACCTTGAGGGTGCAGTGGGGGAGGAGGAAAACGTGGCAAAATGTGTGCAGGGGGAGAAAACACTGCATTGGCACAGCTTCAGCAGGTGACTGTCCCGGGGCGAGCTGAGCCTCGAGGGTCAGGGCAATCAGGTCAGGAGGAGAAAACCTGGGGGTCTGGGGTCCATGAGAGCCCCCCGCCCCCATCCCGTGCTGGGTTATTTTGCGGAGTCAGCAATATCCCCTCCTGAAAGGCTCCAGAGAAATTAACTCATTATTCCCCAGCCTGGCTGGAGCTCGGCTGTGCGGGCTGGGGGCCCAGGGCAGGATCGAGTAACTCGGGTGATGGGTAAAGCCGAGGGAAGGGAAGGGAAGGGAAGGGAAGGGAAGGGAAGGGAAGGGAAGGGAGCCGCCTTTGTTCTTCCCCCATCCGGGATTTCTGTGAATTTCTGTGAATTCACCGTCTTCTTTAGGGAATTGCACAGGGCAGGGCACAGCTGATGGTCACAACTTGGACCTGATCCTGTCATTCATTTTAATGGGGTAAATGTTTGGTTTTTTGGCCGAAACTAAGCGGGGTGCCCAAGCAGGAAAAAGGCTGATGCTGCTGGTGGGATGCTGGTGGCCCCTCTGCCCTCGCCCCAAGCAGTCCTGGGTCCCATCCTTGGGCAGTGATGGGTTCTGTCAGCCCTCACCCAGACTGTTTGGTGCTCATCAGCAGCTGGTGGAGGGCTCTGACACTCCCTGCCCCAACTCCTGCCCACCTTGACAGCAGCAGAATGAACCAAGGGATTTTGACCTTAATGTGGGGACAGTGAGCAAATTACAGGCACATTAAGGATCAGGCTCAAGCAAGGAGAACGAGTGAGTTGCACTGCCACAGCGTGAAGGGTGTGGATCAGAGGTTGGAAAATCCCCAGACACAGGAAAATGAAGAAATGAGGCACTAAAATTTTCTTTGATACACTCAGTGTGACTCAGAGGCACAGGAAGGCTGGTCCTGGGAGAGGAGCAGCAGGTCACGAGCTGCAGGGCAGGGTCTGCCCTGGGGAAAGGAGTGATCTGCAGGTAGAGAGAGCCCTGGGCATCACCCACAGAGCTGTCAGGGACACTGAGCAGCTGACAGATGCCAGTCACTGGGATGGTCCCAGTCAGCCTTCTCTGGTCACTCAACAGCTCTTGGCTTGAAACTGCAGGGTCAGAGTAAGCCTGAACCATGTCCTGACAGTGGGCTGTGAGCCCTAAGCCTCTCCTGACCATGGCTGCACTGCTGTCCCAGAGCTTTTCTGCTTCCTCAATGGCTGGGTTGGGAGAAGGCACACCATCAGTGGGTTTTCTCATTTTGCAATTCAAACCAGCTTTTTTTTTTTTTTTTTTTTTTTTCCTTGGTCATTGAAATATTCCCCTGAAACATTTCAGCTCCATGAAATCATTGCTTTCAGAATAAAAATTTTACATGGAATTTTCCAGCAAGACTGGTGACATGGCAAAGGTCTCGGCAGGGCAGCCAAGCTCTGCAGCCCATCAGCTGTGCTCAGCCTGTCCCACTTCTTCCACAACAGGATCAAAAGGCCACTGAGATTACCAAGCTTTCAACTTTCAGCTCCCCCAGGACCTGGAGGCTGAGGAGGTCCTGTATTGCTTTGGCCAAGCAATCAAAGTTTATAGAGACTTCTCAGTAGGATGGGTGGAAGAAACACAGAGAGCAGGAAGCAACTGCTGAAACTGCCAGTGATTAAAATGCAATAAAATGTTTGCCTTCTGCTGCTGAGCAAGAAGTGTGGCATGTGTTTTGCTGAGGCAGCAGAAGTGGTTGTGTTCACTGAATGAGCAGCTAATGAAAAGCATTTCAAGCAGGAAGCAACGCTGATGAAGATTACGAGCCTGCTTATATCTTGGAGAATTAAATGGCCTGGGCTGGATACTCCTGTTTTACACTGGATTTTGCATTGATCAAAGAGGATTTACTCTGCTCTGCACCAGTGTGGGAAGAGTGGGAGCACTCCTTTGTGCCAGAAGCTGCTTGTGAACATCCCTTGCCAGGGCGATGTGTCAGCAGAACAAATGCCCCTGGACAGGGCAGCTCAAGCAGATCACACTTCTGAGCAAAATTCATCTGGCAGCAGCCATTTGAGCTGAGGCAGTCCCACGGGAGCAGTGCTCATTCCTCCTGGGCTGCAGTCCTGTTGGGCTGCAAACGGAGCGGGGTCAGCTAAAGGGGTGGCTGCAGCCATTTCCTCTTTATTGGGGTGCCTGCATGTCCTCCTCCCCTCCTGTCACTGCTATTGGCCAAGTCCTGGGGCAGCACCAGGCCCTGCTGTGCTCAGACATTGTGGGCACAGGAGCAGCAGCAGTTCCTGCCCTGGAGAGCACAAAAAAGGGGTCACACAGCTCCAGGCTGTGGGGTGGGACTGGGCATTGGTGCTGGCAGGGAAACCCAGGATGGCACCTGGGCTCTGCCTCTCTTCTGGGAACAGAGGGGCACAGGATGCTTACCTGCCTCATTGTGAGGGGTTTAGACTGAATATTAGCAAAAGGTTCTTCCCCCAGAGGGTGCTGGCACTGCCCAGGCTCCCCAGGGAATGGGCACGGCCCCGAGGCTGCCAGAGCTGCAGGAGCCTTTGGCCAGTGCTGCAGGGATGCCCAGGGTGGGGTTGGTGGGGTATCTGGGCAGGGCTAGAAATTCTGTTTCTTGTGGTCCCTTCCAACTCAGGCTGTTCTATGATTCTCTGACCCCTGAATCACTTTTCTTCTCTGGAGGTGAACTGAGCTACCAGCACATGGCAACACACAGTGGGTGAACAGTCACCATTCCTCAAATTGTGTGATACAGAAAGTGCTGATAAAGCTTGGAAAACCCACAAGGCAGTGTCTGGATGGGGAACAAAGCAGGGAGGTGTACTGGAAATGCTTGTATTTGCTGCTATCACATGGTGCTCTCAAAACAACAGGAGAGGAAACTGAGGTGTCCTGGACTGCCAGGCAGAAAAGGAGGAGGCTGCTGGCTGCTGTAGGGGAAGGGAATGGGAAGAGAGCTCAGAAATCACATGGCACAGAGGAGATCCTAACATAAAGAAAAAGCAGGGAGAAGTTGTGGCACATCAGGGTGCCCATGTTGCCCTGGCCACTGGCTGGGTGCAGGTCCCCTGGCTCCTGTGGGATCAGGCCAGGGACTGGTCCAGTGGTCAAGGGTTTTTCTGCAGATTTGTCTTCAGGCAGAGCAAGACTCCCAAGTTCCCAGTGGAGGGAGCATCACAGTCAGACTGAGCTACCCCTGCATTACTGCCCTGGACAGCTTTGGCACAGGGTGGCATCTAGGAGACAGGAGCTGATCTTGTGGCAGGGACCTTCAAAGCCTATGTTTCCTTTCATCAGTTGTTTCTGATGACACAGTAAACTCATCACTGAGCTTGAATGCATTTTTGTCCCATTTTAAACGTCAGTAACAGGCTGGGGGTTCCCAGGAGCAGTTTATGGCAGGCATAAGGCGGGAAGCTGGTGAGATTCCTATCAGCCAGCAACTCAGCTGGAAAGACCAAAGGTCCTGAGGAAGGGTGTGGACAATTCTGGGACAGGGCTGGTAATGGAGACACAACTCATGACAACAAATAAACCCATTTTGTTTGGCGTCCCATTAGAGGTGAGAAGCAAGCTTGTCCTTGGGGTGCCATGAGCAGGTGATTCCTTGTCAGGGTACAAAAAAAGCTGCCTCTGAGTGAGGGCAGTGGAAGGAGGTGGTGTCAGGGTGGGTGCTGGTGCCCAGCAAGGCTGATTGTCCACTCTCTGCTCTGCAGGGTCATGCCCAATGTGAATTTAACTGCTGTGGAAGGTGAACACTGTTAATGATCCTCTGTGTCTTCCTCCTCCAGGGAGATTTTTCAATGGTAGGATTTTCTCTGGTCCCTGATTATTCCCCAGCGCTCCTTTAGAGGTGGTCTCTGCTCACAGCTGTAGTTCTAATAGTGTGGCTTGGTCAGGGAGGGGGAGATGCTTCAGGGAAGTCATGCCCTGAGATGGACTCTGATTTCTGGTGAGGTGTCTAGCACTTCCCTAAGTTTTCCCAGAATGATCCAGAAGCCAGCAGCATATCTGAAAGCAGCACTTCCCTGGGGCCTAATCACGGTCATTACTGACATTTTCTTTATTCTTGGTGCTGGTAAAACCTGCTGTGTCTCTCTTGGCAAAAGAGTGTGGCTTGCTCTTCAGATATGGAACCATAAAATGTTTGCAATCTGAAATCACCCCCAGCCTTGCTCAATGCATCCAAAACAGCCTCCATGTGCAGTCACTGACATCTGGCAGCTTTATTGGCACCTCATTAGGAATTTCCTGCAGGACCAGCTAAATGCAGGAGACACCAACTCACCGAGTTGGAGCTGTTCTGTGTCCTCACAGCACTGTGTGGCTGTGCTGCTCCCAAACCCATCTGCAGGGGCTGGGCTGGGGTAGCCCAGTGCCAGAGCAGAGCATCGTGCTTGCCTGCCCCATCCTCCCCGGAGGGCAGGGCTGTGATCCTCACAAGACTCTCCAGGCTCTTCCACACCACGGCTCCAAAGTCTCTTCTAGGCAGCACATTACAAATTCATGTGTGTACAAACTTGTTTGGATAGCTCTTCCCTGGCTCCTCTCTTCCTGCTCCCTCCAGGGCAGGAGGCAGAACTGATCCTTGGCAGCTCTGCCACGCTGCCAACCCCAGAGTTCTGCTCAGCTCTGCTGAAGGTGGGCAAGGTGTCTTCTCAGGAGAAAACCTGGCAGGGATCCCTGCCTTGTGAGAGCTCAGCTCAGCCAAAGGCCCAGAAGGATCCTGGTGAAACAAGTGCAGGCACGTCTGCTCAGCCTGGCTCCAAGAGATACCAGCATCAAGAGCAGGGTAGCAAAGCACAGCTAATGGATGGAAAAACACATTCCTAAGGTTACTCACATCCAAATCTTGCGAGACGTGCTAACACAGCCCAAAACAACAATTCCTCCAGAGTTTTGATTTCTTCAGCAGCATTACACTGATGGCTTTGGCTAGCTCCAGGCTGCCAGTCAAACCCCATATGTGCTTTTAAGAAGGTCGCCGCTGAGAAAACTGATCTCCCATGAGCTCTCTCAGTGTGCCCAGGCCTGCAGAGCTGCAGCACTACCCGTGCCAGATTCCAGAGCCTGGCTGGGACCTGCTGTGGGCTGGTGGGAATGGCTGGAGCTCTCAGCCTGGTGCACCTGCACGTTCCTGCAGCGACGTGCTGGGTGGTTTTGTTAAACGGGTTAAACCAACCTGTGCTGCCCAGCACGCGCTGGGGAAGGCTGAGCGTAGAAGAAGGCAGAGTGTAGAAGAAGGCAGAGTGTAGAAGAAGGCAGAGTGTAGAAGAAGGCTGAAGGTGTAGAAGAGCTGTGGGAACGCCAGACAGCTCGCTGAGGTGGCTGCATCACGCAGGAGCTCCCGGGGGACAGCGCCTTGCTGGTGTCACCCGCGCAGGCCCGGGAGCCCGTGCAGGCTCTGGGGCAGGCAGGGCAGTGGGAGCAGGGCAGCAGGACCTCCAGCCACGCCTTTGGCTCCCTCTCTTCATCTCCCACTGTGAGGGTCTCCGGAGCCCCATCACTGCAGCCAGGAGGGGAGCAGGATCTGGAGGTGATGCAGGATGGAGGCCTGGCCTGTCCAGCCCAGAAAGGAGGGCTGCAGCTGATGCCTTATGATTTAGCTTTTATATTGTTCAGACCCTGTACTGCTTTAGTGTATAACTCTAAAACTGTTGCTGTTCTCCCATTTTATTCAGACAAAACAATTCCTCTCTAGGCCTGAAACTCAAGGACACCCTACAGCCTCAGGCCCAGAGAGATGTAAACAACAGTGAATTGGGGGGGCAAACTTGGAGTAAATGACTTCATTACCTAAAACTGTAATTGGAGGATTAACCCCTGATATGCAAATGGACCAAACTTATAAATATGTGAAAAATTAATGACCACCATCCATCTTGGCTGTAGCCCCTCAAAGGCTTTTGACTGCCCAGGGTGTATCTGTTGAAGGCCTTCAATAAATACCTGCTTTTATTCTCTTAATTTTGTGTTTTAGGTAGCCACTCCAAGGCATCACAGCAAGGACCATGCCCTGAGCAACCAGGGCCTGGGAACAGCCAGGCTGCTTCCCACAGGCAGGACTGTGCTCTTGTGGTTTTAATGGGGGAAAAAAACCCAAAACAGCCTCAGGCCCAGAGAGATGTAAACAACAGTGAATTGGGGGGGCAAACTTGGAGTAAATGACTTCATTACCTAAAACTGTAATTGGAGGATTAACCCCTGATATGCAAATGGACCAAACTTATAAATATGTGAAAAATTCATGACCACCATCCATCTTCGCTGTAGCCCCTCAAAGGCTTTTGAGTGCCCAAGGTGTATCTGTTGAAGGCCTTCAATAAATACCTGCTTTTATTCTCTTAATTTTGTGTTTTAGGTAGCCACTCCAAGGCATCACAGCAAGGACCATGCCCTGAGCAACCAGGGCCTGGGAACAGCCAGGCTGCTTCCCACAGGCAGGACTGTGCTCTTGTGGTTTTAATGGGGGAAAAAAACCCAAACAATGGAGACGATAGCCCATCAGCAGAGCCAGCTAATGGGAAATCTGGTAGCAAAAGTCACTGTTCAGAGGGGGCTGTTTGGGAGATGTTTCTGTTGGGCTGGTGATTGCCAGTCTGTGTTTTGCAGACTCACTTGGTTTCTATAACTGCATGTGGATCAGATGTGGTCACTGGCAGGAAATTCTGGATGACAAGGAACTAAAATACTTT